TATGTGTCTTATGAGGACATCCAGAATGCTCGCCACTTCCTACTTACCAGGTCTGATTAACCTTCAATATTGTGGATCAGCAAGATCCCTTTGTATTATATTATTACAAAGAGCAAAAGAGTCCTGGGGTAAGACCGAATGTTCATTGCTGAGTGTTCTAAGTGAATACTGCTTATGATCCTCCTTCCTGATGGGGATTTAAAAAAACGTACTTGCCAGGTCAGTAGCCACTTACCTAGTGCAACAAACTGTGTCAGTTTAGTAAAGATCTCGTTTAGTACACAGCAGAGCCCTGGTGGTGCCGTTGTAAAGAGCTATGGCTGCTAACCAAAAGGTCAGCAATTCAAATCCACCAGCCATTCCTTGAAAACCCTATGGGGGCAGTTCTACTCTGTCCTGTAGGGTTGCTATGAGTCAGAATCAACTCAGTGGCAATGGGTTTAGTACACAGCAGCTGCAATTTGGGGCTACCACTTAGTTAAGTTTACAGTAGGCCACCATCATCTATTATAATCTGTCTAGTTCTCACAAAAGCCAGACTGGAGAATTAAACAGACTTTAAATCATTTTGGGTAGCACTCTGCCATTTCTGTCAGGATAATTTACTATTGGTTATCTTGGCCAGTGACTGGGGAGAGGGCATGCAGTTTCATGAACTTCCACTAAGCCTTTTCTACCACAGTGGCTCTTACTCCACAGGCAGAGAATCACTGTGAAGGTTTTGCCAGCTGCTGTCCCAATTACACACTCAGGGACCAGGAAGATAACCATGGGGTGGTCTCACAGACCCATTGGAGGCCCTGGAGGCAGATTTGAGTCAAGAGTCCATTTATTTCTGAATCTCTGTTTGCCCTCACTGTAATAGGGCCATGGTGGCATTTTGGGTACCCTGTATCCAACAACCCTTGAAAGAGGAGGATATTCCCATTTCCACAGTATATAGTTCCTCCAGTTAGTGGTTGTAGCTTCCCTTGGAGAAGGATTAGGGGGATTGCTGTTGTAAATATTTGTCATGGTGTTGCAGGGTGCCATCCTCAAGGGCCCCTTCAATAAGTGGGCTCTGTGCCTGAGACTTCAGTGAGGACTGTTGATTGTTCACTGTGGCTGCTGGCATCAGCCATTGGTTTACTTGTTCTTCAGCTTTTTTAGAAGTGTAAATTAATCTACACTCTCATTGACCACACATCTGTCTAATCCCTAGGAATGCTATAGTTTATAAGACATCACCACAGATCTTTGTGGGTCTTGCCGGTTGCCATTCTGGGCATGCTGCCCGTTATGGTAATGATGTCTACTTTGCCTCTGATGGTTAAATGCTGCCACCTGTCCTCTGCTCTTCCAGGATCCTATCATTCCCACTGACTAGAAAACCCAGTATCATAGCAGTCTCTTCCCTACCTTCAACCCTGGCCCTCAAATGATAGCCACTGAACTTCTTAATGATACCAGTGCCCCCCTTCACTAGATCATTCCTTATTGCCTTAATAAGAGAGTGTCCTCTGACTATCCCAAGGAACAAAATCAGCAGATGAGTTCTCTGGCCTCACATAATAATCCATTCTAGCATGCCACCTCTGTGAGACTTCGACACCTTCCTCTGTACTCTGCCAAGGCAGTTCCGGCATCTCCACCTCGTTTGCAGTAAACCTTTTTTTCCTAGCTTCGAGGAACCTTCCCAGCAGTGTATTAGGACTGGTTCAAGGCATCTTTGCCAGGATGTTGAACCATAAGTCACTGGAGAGAGCCCACATATCAGTGAACTTTTACTCAGTCTGCATTCCCCCACTCAGCACCCTCAAGATCTATTCCTAGGCATGCTGTATTGGTTTCTGCTAATACATAATGGCCAGGTCCTGCAGCTCATTGGGTGAATAACACCTTTCTTCCTATAACACTGCGTCCCCAGTTGGGCTGTGCTGGCACTTGACCCCAGTTATTGCTCTAGAAGCAGTGAGAGAAAGTAAAGGCAGATCTTGTGGAGGGCAAGCATCGTCTTGTGAGCAGTCTGCCTCAAGTGAGACAGTAGGCTGCTGTGTTCCAGAAGTGGAGAAGCTGACACTTCTCTTAATCCTAAGGATTTGGGGTAGTCTGAGTGTTCAAGGTACTCAGGCACATCCGTCCACTCTGATATCCCTATCCCAGGCCTCAGGGCTCTGGCTTTAGTTTCGAACACTAGTTGGAGCTGTGAATTTAGGTATCTGAATCAGGTCACATGCAGAATCAGATACTTGAGAGCTTCTTTGTGGAGAAATATTTGAACAGTTTAGATGGGCTGTATCTCAACTAAAAGGTCAAGTTTTTATTTTGTCTTTGCTGGTGAGATGATCTGATGAATCTTCCTTTGGATAATATAAGTCATTTTATTTCAATGGTTAAAAAAAATTGTCTTCATCACTCTACCATGTCTAAGCCACCTAATCTCATGGAAAACAATAGATCACATTGCAGCATCCAATTCATCCATGTAGAGCAGTGAGCACTCTGGAGTTGAAATCATGAAAGAGAATCCAGTTCGCAGTGTAAATTACTAGCTCTGTTCAATATTAACTTCAACCATCTCAGTAGTACCGGTTGTAATCCTGCTTCCTAAGTTTGACCTGTCTACATTTCAACAGTGTTATCAACACTAAAATGTAATCCAATTCCTTAAATTGTGATTTTCTGGGCCCTAGATTGAAAGGGTCCTCTGTCACCTCCAAATTTTTACTGATGCCATAAATAAAAATAGCTAACTGGTATGTGAGGAAGTTATTATTTATATCTGTGCCCTCATCAGTTGTGATAGAAAATGCCGAAGTGATTTAACCTTTTCACATAATGTGTCTGATAAATGCTTTACCATATTTTAATGTGCTGAGCAATAGGGGTTTTAGTTAAATTTATATTTGAAACTGCTTTATTTCTGTTTGGGACACATAATTACTGAACCACTTACTGTTGTTGTTAGGTGCTGTTAAATAGCAACCTGGTGTATAACAGAATGAAACATTGCCTGGTCTCGAACCACTTAATAGAGAATCTTTAATAAATGCAACATCTCTGGTAAAAACTTTTGATGCATTTTTCCCCTTATAATTGCATTTTATAATAACTGTTGAAATTTCAATCCTTTGGTTCATGAAGTGTTTTCCTCTCAAACCTTTTTGATATACCGGTAATATTTCTTACTATGGTTTGTTTCATAATGGCATCTTAAATTATATTCATATGTTAATCCCATAGGAACGTTCTTAACTTCCACAGAGAAATATAATTATACCCCATTTATCTAGAAACATATTGCCCCCTTAATCCATTTTTCATTTTCTACTCTTGATGGAAAGATGAATACAAGAAATATTTCTCCTTTCGCTTTATATTAATAATAAAAACAGTGTGAAATAGCTGCTGACATTCACCTCAGTGTTAGGAATATCAAAAGGGAGTGGTAGGGACTGTGGGGAACTGGGACTCACATGCACCTGTCTAAACAGAACAATGACTTTTCAGTTTTAACCTATTTTTGCAATGTAGGAATCTGGGTCACATGTTGCCAGGACTTCTACTTTTTCACAGGATGCCAGAAATGCAGATATTTATATAATATCTCTTTATTTTAGAATGCTAAACTGAGTAGATTTATTTTAAAATGTTGTTTATCAACGCTATGCAAGCCAAACAAAACACCTCGATGGGCTGTATTTGACTGGTATGCCACTATTTGCTAGCCTCTGTATGCCTTATCTCTACTGACGTGCTTTCCCAGGAAGTCTTTAAGGCTGAGGACTAGAACCATTTCTCTGGTTACAAAGGCTAACTTAGTAGGACAAATAATTGGGAGGACATGCCATCCTGGTCATTTTTAAGTCCAGATACCCAGCTGTTATGGGAGTTCTTCTATATCTTCTGTATTAGTTCTTCAGTATTTAATTTGGAGCCCTCGTGGCACAGTAGTTAGTGCTCAGCTGCTAACCAAAAGGTTGGTGGTTCAAACCCACCAGCTGCTCCACAGGAGAAAGACATGGCAGTCTGCTTGTGTAAAGATTTATAGCCTTAGAAACCCTATAGGGTAGTTCTACTCTGTCCTGTAGGGTCACTGTGAATCAGAATCGACTCAAGAATGGTGAGTTTGGTTTGGGTTTCTATGTTTAATTCTCCTAAAGTTGACTTATAGATGTGATTACATCCCAGTCAAATTCCCATCAGGGTTTTTTCTGGGACTTGAGAAGCTTATTCTAAAATATATATTAAAGGACACAGGACCAAGAATTAGCCAAGACTATCTTAAAAATAATTAAGTGGATGACTTGACTTTCTAGGTATTGTGACTTCTTATCAAGTCAGTGTGGTGCCAATTCAAGGACTGATGTATTGACCAATGAGTCAGAAGAGAATCCTGAAATAGGATTCCCTTGCATAAATAGAAACTTAATTGGTGATAGAGATAGCACTGAAGATCATTGGAGAAACAATGGGCTCTTTAATAAATGGTACTTGATGACTGATTATCTGTATGGAAAAAATGAAATTGGTAGAAGATTATGTGTCCAGGTAGATTAATGATACACACATATACGTAGATGTATGTAGGCATGTATATTTTACTTTAACTTGATCTTTAGTATAACACATATAGTAACGTGTGTGGGTATATGTATATGGAGCCCTGGTGGCGTAGTGGTTAAGAGCTTCGCTGCTAACCAAAATGTCAGTAGTTCAAATCCACCAGCCGCTCCTTGGAAACTCTATGGGGCAGTTCTACTCTGTCCTACAGGGTCACTATGAGTTGGAATCAACTTGACGGCAACAGGTTTGGTATATATATATACATATGCATACATACATACACATAAATATACATATATACTTTTTCTTTAGCTTAATCTTTCAGAAACACTTTGCTTTAGCTGTGTCTTTTATACAGCATGTTGTTGGATTTTGTTTAGTGTCTCAAACTAAGAGCCTATTATTGTTTTAATAGATGTGTTTATCTTATTTACGATTACTAACAAAAACCAGGTGTTCAGCTGCATGGAATGGCTTCTAGGCTAATTCACAGGTTATTACAGCTCTCCCTAGCCTACGTGTCTGCTCCAACAAAATTAGGCTCTCTAACCATCTTACTCTTTCTTATTGTAGTGTTTTGTAATATGATTTCTCAAGAGAAGACGGAAGACCATCCTTTTGTGGATATATTTAATGAAGATGAAGCTGAAAAAAACTTTTTGTTGTCCAAACCTGTTTGCTTTATTATATTTGGAAAACCAGTAAGTTATCTCTTCTGACTTATTATTTAGTATAAATTATTCATTTGAAAATCACGTTCTTATAAGCTATCATATAAGAATGAAAACCACATGTGTGCTAGTTTTTTGGGTTATTTTGGAGTGCTTATTAGATTTTCATTTTTTGACTTAAAAGCTGATATAATGTTGGTGGTAAATTCACAATTTTCTCTCTTACACAGCTATAATTGAAACAGAACCTGGATTGTATTGAGCTGAAATATATTATGAAGAAATTAACTTATCTAAACATTACATCATGACAGTTAGTAGTAGTGTGTGCTACAAGGTTATTTCAGACTTCATTTACATATAAAACCTTTTCGAAATCTGTTGCTAGGCTGTCTGGATATCTGAAGGTAGGACAGTAGAGATGAGCTGGGAGGTTCTCCTATTAATGCCTGAAGATACCAAGAGGCAGTACACTCCCACCTTTTATCCACAGCATGTTAGCTGACCTATATGCTGTCTTTCCAGAAAACAGGAAGAAACAAAAAATGGCTGTTGTAAGATAGCTTGCCTTTCTAGGCAATTCTACTAAGGACTTCTAGATAAGAACTATTTGCAGCCACTGAACTAGTTAGTACTTACCATTAAAAACCAAAAAAAAACCAAACCCATTGCCGTCGAGTCAATTCCGACTCATAGCAACCCTATAAAAGGCCTAAACTTGTTCTTAAAGGGACATTCTAAAATAGCAGAGACTAAGGGTGGATCTCTTGACTTAACTGTACATGGACCCTAGGATAGTACCAAGAAATGGTTCCAGTAACTTTCTCTGTTTCCACAAACATAATTCAGTTTTAAAAGTCAACAGTAAAAACAACCAAATATAAATGTTACTTCATGAAAGTAATCTTTTATATTTAAAACATGATACTTTCCAAAGACATAAGAAGGAAATTTTTGCCCTTCAAAATTACTAAATGGAAGTATATACAAAATTCATAATTATAAACTTTATGAAGGGAATAAAATGGTGAATCTCAATACAGTCACAAATGATGTGGTGAATATTTTTAATTGAGTTACAAAAAATTTTAAAGCAAAGCCTTGACAAAGAGTGCAATACCATTATGGTATAGCTTCCTGATTTCAGGGCTATCTTCAAAAAAAAAAAAATAATAAAGTTTATTCAAATCACTTCATAAGATGTGGCATATGCAACAATTAGTAGAGAAAATAAAGCTTTAAATGTCTAGGATATACTCTTCATTTATTGTTCAGGGGAAACATTTACTTGATAACACTGATGTAATAGTAACCACCAATAGAATCTTTAAACATTGGGATATCTGTTTCATTGGCATATAATAAATGACTGTTCTATTGGGTTTTAAATAACATTTATCTTTTTAAGGGGATTGGGAAGACAACATTAGCCCGTCAGATAGCACAGACATGGAAATGCATTCGTGTCGAAGGTAAATATTATTTCTTCCCCCAACTTCTTATTATAAAAACTACAAAATATACAGAAAAATGGAAAGAATTATACAGTGAACACCCATATACCCACCATCTAAATTGTCTTGTTAACATTTTGCTGTATTTGCATTAACACAAATCTATCCACCTAGCAACCCATCAAATATTATCTTTATAATAGCATCAATCATGTTTGGCCTCTCTGTTAGTCCTAGTTTTAGTCACAGAATTTAGGAGGGTTTATGAAATGCCTATGACCCTAGTCTACTGCCTCTAATTCTGTACTTCTTTAATTTAGATAATTGATATAGAAATGGATATGTGTGCTTTAGTTGTCTTCTTTTGAAAGACGAGAAGGTAAAGAGTTCTTGTAACTCTTCTTAAGAGATTTTCCAGAACTTAATTGTCTTTGAAGATAAGTTTTATTTTTTTATTATTTATAAATTGCTTTGCATTCTCTGCAATATATAGGGCAATGGGTTGATATCTTTATAAATATGCTTTTAATCAATAAAACTATTTATGCCATAATAGAAAAATTAATGAAAGAATTAATAGGCATTCATAAATATAGAATCAAAAATAGACAAATTTAAGAAAAAAAGAGTTCAACCTCACTGTTATTCAAAGAAATGTTGATTAAAATAACACTAATCCATTTTTACCTAACAAATTGGCAATGAATTTTTTAAATTACTACAATCATTGTTTGCAACGATGTTATGAAATGGGTGTTCTGTATGCTATCAGTGAGATTGCAATCTGGTACCATTTTTTTGGAGAGCAATTTGGTAACACGTGCGCACACGCACAGACTTTAAAATTTCCCACTTTCTTTGATCCCAAAATTCCACTTCTAGGAAATCTTAAAGAATACCAAATGTTTCATAGATTATTAGCAGCTAGTAACATAATTCAGCTCCTGGGTCCTCCCCTACATCACACCCCTATAATATATGTCCCAGAATGTCTTCCATTAAGGAATGTAATATTTCATCTTAAAAGCGAAACAAGTCATTGGAATTACAGCCTCAGGACCCCTCTTTCTAATTAGTGCCTATCCAGTTTAACATTTATAGAAGCATATTTTCTTTTTATACAACCAGTGTACAAAAGTGATGCGTTCTGATTACAACGGCACGGTTATAAAAGTAGTGGACTAATAATACGAATGTATACTTCTGTGCGGTCCTTTATAATTTACCAAGCATTGTCATACACATTATCTCATTTCACCCTCACATTCTCTTGTGTACTAGACAGGGAACATGCATCCAGGGTGCAGAGGTGTTTAGGAAGTTAGCTTCCCCAAAATTCTTTAGGTAGCACATGGCAGAGGCAAGTTCACTATGGAATACATTCTGCTACCTCATACTTTGATTACACTTAAGTGGCAAAGTGTATAAATGTGCTTTGTAATCTCTAAAGTGATATACAAGTATTAATCTTTATTACCAGTTATAAAACACTAGAATATATTTGTTCATTTGGCAATGCTAATGCCGGTTTGTACTAATATCTTGAATTCATGTTTTAGCTTTACCAGTTTTGGAAGAACAGATTGCTGCTGAAACCCAAACAGGAGTTATGGTAAGCAAATCTAAATTTCAAAGTTATTGTGATAAAATAGCTCTGTATCAAACAGTAACATACAATATCTATGCTTGTTCTTAGTTGCAAGCAATGCTGGTCAGAGGTCAAAGTGTTCCAGATGAACTTGTCATAAAGATAATGTTGGACAAGCTCAATTCCCCAGAAGTCTCTCACTTTGGTATGTTTATTTTTATACATGTAAAACCAGCAAAGCAGCCTTAAAACTTGTACGTTATCTGAGTCACAAATAGTTTCTGGGGTTGCTCTTTCTTTTGCCTGGGCACAGAATTCCTAGTGTCCTGCTTTCTTTGCTTGTTTCTATTATTTTCCAGAATCTACACTTCTAAAAAAAGGGGGAAAAAAATTAAGTTTATATGACCCAATCTTTTAGCATTGTGCTCTCCAGTGTAAGCTTCAAAAATCTACTGTGGTCCATCTAGCAATGCTGATAGCCTCTGCTGACTGCTTCCCTGCTAACCCTGAGTCTCATCGCTTAGTCCTGCCAATGGCTAAATTTCTCTACATTAATCTACACTTATAAGCAGGAATGGAAACTAGAATGGCACCAGCTTTTCCTCTGGCTCCAGATATGAGCAGGCCTCAACCAGTTCACCCAGTTTGCCCTCTGACACTGGACCCAGGAGGCTCCCTATACTCAAAAGGATGCTTTGGACCTAATTTCTTGAGACAAAGACCCCTGAGGCTCAGAATGACTGAAAAGAAAAGAGCAAACTCTATGACATTTGCAAAAGAAGGGAAGAAGAATAAAGATGAGCTTGGGGTAACTCATCCATCTGAAGTGGATTTATTACACGAAAGAAGAAAAATGTAGAAAGATACTTTGAATTCTGAGTAAGTTAAGAGAGGACATTGTAACAATTAAGAATTGTTGTTAGCTGCCATCCAGTCAGCTCCAACTCATGGTGAACTTATAAATAACAGAATACAACGTTACCCAGTCCTGTGCCATCTTCTTTATCGTTGGTATATTTGAGTCCATTGTTTGTGCCTACTGTGTCAGTCCATCTCCCTCATTTTCACTTACTCTCTGTTTTACCACACACGATGTCCTTTTTCTAGCAATTGGCCTTTTCTGATGATGTGTCCAAAGTAAGCAAGCCAAAGTTTCACCATCCTTCTTTCTAAGGAGCATTCTGGTTATATATTTTCTAAGACTGATTTACTCATTTTTCTGGCAGTCCTTGGGAATGCAGGGATAAAAATAAAGTGCAATAAAGTAAAAACCATGATTGCCAAAGTAAATCAATAATGGAAGCAGCAAAAGCAGACTTGTTACTACAAAGTACTGTTATTGTTAGTTGCTGTTGAGTCACCTGCAACTCATGATGCCCCGTATACAACAAACAAAATATTGCCCAGTCCTGCATCATCTTCACAATCATTGGTATGCTTGGGTCCATTGTTGTGCACATTGTGTAATTTGAGGGCCTTCCAACCTAGGGGCTCATCTTCCAGCACTATATTGAACAATATTCTGTTATTATCTACTGGGTTTTCATTGGCTAATTTTTAGAAATAGATTTTCAAGCCTTTCTTCTGAGTCTGTCTTAGTCTGGAAGATCCACTGAAGCTTGTCCACCATGGTTGTCCCTGTTGGTATTTGAAATACCAGTGGCTTAACTTCCAGCATCATAGCAACATGCAAGCCATCACAATACAACAAACTGTAAAATCAGGAAAGGGTTTTATCCTTTTACCACACTTATAAAATCTGTATGGTGAGCAAATGATCTAAGAAGTTGGATTATATGAAGAAGAATGTGGCATTGGGATTGGAGGAAGACTCATTAACCACCTATGATATGCAGATGACACAACCTTGCTTTCAGAAAGCAAAGAGGACTTGAAGCACTTCTTCAAAGATCAAAGACTACAGCCTTCAGTACGGATCACACCTCAACATAAAGAAAACTAAAATCCTCACAACTGACCAATAAGCAACATCATGATAAAGGGAGAAAATGTGACATTGTCAAGAATTTCATTTTACTTTGATCCACAATCAACATCCATGGAAGCAGCGGTCAAGAAATCAAATAACGTAATCTCTAAAATATACAAGATACTGCAAAATCTCAACAACAAAAAGACAACCCAATTAAAAAATGGGCAAAGGATATGAACAGGCACTTCACCAAAGAAGATATTCAGGTGGCTAGCAGATATATGAGGAAATTCTCACGATCATTAGCCATTAGAGAAATGCAAATCAAAACTGCGATGAGATACCATCTCACCCCAACAAAGCTACCATTAATCCAAAAAACACCAAATAATAAATGTTGGAGAGGTTGTGGAGAGACTGGAACACTTATACACTGTTGGTAGGGATGTAAAATGGTAAAACCACTTTGGAAATTGATTTGGTGCTTCCGTAAAAAGCTAGAAACAGAAGTACCATACAATCCAGCAGTCCCACTCCTTGGAATATATCCTAGAGAAATAAGAGCCATCACACGAATAGATATATGCACAACCATGTTCATTGCAGCACTGTTCACGATAGCAAAAAGATGGAAACAACCTAGGTGCCCATCAACGGACGAATGGATAAACAAATTATGGTATATTCACACAATGGAATGCTACACAATGATACAGAATAACAATGAATCTGTGAAACATAACATGGAGGAATCTGGAAGGCATTATGCTGAGTGAAATTAGTCAGTCGCAAAAGGACAAATATTGAATAAGACCACTATTATAAGAACTCAAGAAAAGGTTTAGACACAGAAGAAAACATTCTTTAATGGTTATGAGGATGGGGAGGGAGGGAGGGGGTATTCACTAACTAGATACTAGACAAGAATTATGTTAGGTGAAGGGAAGGATAACACACAGTACAGGGGAAGTCAGCACAACTGGACTAAACCGAAAGCTAAGAAGTTTCCTGAATACAACCAAACTTTTTGAGGGACAGAGTAGCAGGGGCAGGGGTCTGGAGACTATGGTTTCCGGGAACATCTAGGTCAATTGGCATAACAAAGTTTTTTAAGAAAATGTTCTGCATCCCACTTTGGTGAGTGGTGTCTGGGGTCTTAAAAGCTAGTGAGCGGCCATCTAAGATGCATCAATTGGTCACAACCCACCTCAAGCAAAGGAGAATGAAGAACACCAAAGACACAAGGAAAATACTAGCCCAAGAGACAAAAGGGCCACAAAAGACTCCATCAGCCTGAGACCAGAAGAACTAGATGGTACCCAGCTACCACCAATGACTGCCCTGACAGGGAATACAACAGAAAGTCCCTGATGGACTAGGAGAAAAGTGGAGTGCAGAACTCAAATTCTAGTAAAAAGACCAGACTTAATGGTCTGACTGTGACTGGAGGGACCCCGGAAGACACGGCCCCCAGACTCTCTGTTAGCCCAAAACTAAAACCATTCTCGAAACCAACTTTTCAGACAAAGATTAGAATGGACTATAAGACATAAAATGATACTCGTGAAGAGTGTGCTTCTTAGCTCAAGTAGATACATGAGTCTAAATGGACAGCTACCATCCAGAGGCGAGATGAGAAGGCAGAAAGGGACAGGAGCTGGTTGAATGGACATGGGAAATCCGGGGTGGAAAGGAGGAGTGTGCTGTCACAGTATGGGGAGTGCAACTAGGGTCACATAGCAGTGTGTATATGAAGTTTTGTATGAGAAACTAAGTTGAACTGTAAACTTTCATTTAAAGCACAATAAAAAAAAAATCAAATAATGTATTGCATTGGGCAAATCTGCTGCAAAAGACCTCTTTAAAGTATTAGAAGCAAAGACGCCACTTTGAGGACTAAGGTGCAACTGACCCAAGCCATGGTATTTTCATTCGCCTCGTATGCGTGCAAAAGTTGGACAATGAATAAGGGAGACTGAAGAAGAATTGATGCCTTTAAACTATGGTGTTGGCAAAGAATGTTCAATATACCATGGACTACCAGAAGAACAAACAAATCTGTCTTGGAAGAAGTACAGCCATAATTCTCCTTAGAAGCAAAAATGGCAAGACATCATCTTACGTAGTTTGGATATGTTATCAGGAGGGACCAGTCCCTGGAGAAGGACATCATGCTTGATAAAGTAGAGGCTCAGCAAAAAAGAGGAAGACCCTCAACAAGATGGATTGACACAGTAGCTTCAATAACGTGCTCAAACATAGCAACAGTTGTGAGGATGGCACAGGACCAAGCAGTGTTTTGTTCTGTTCTACATAGGATCGCTATGAGTCAGAACTGACTCGATGGCACCTAACAACAACAACATATATAAATGTATCTATATATCATCTATTTATAGATGATATGTGTATATAGATGATATATAGAATGAACTGTATTTATCCATATGTAGAGAATATATTTATATATTATCAATATACAAATTATATATGTAACATATATAACCAGAGATAAAGAGGATGAACTTGGGAAAAAGACCCATAATGTTGAAGGTGAAATGAGTAAAAAGGAGATAAAAAGAAAACTGAAGGAAATCACAGAGTTCCAACTTAGGTCAATGCTACTATAACAGAAATACCACAAGTGGATGACTTTAACAAACAGAAGTTTATTCTCTCACAGTTTAGGAGGCTAGAAGTTTGAATTCAGGGCACCAGCTCCAGGGGAAGGCTTTCTATCTCTGTCAGCTCTGGATGAAGGTCCTGGTCATCAATCTCCCCCTAGTCTAGGAGTGTCTCAGCACAGGTACCTCGAGTCCAAAGGATTTACTATGCTCCCAGCACTTATTTCTTGGTAACATGAGGTCCCTCTCCTCTCTGCTCAATTCTCTCTTTTATATCTCAAAAGAAAGTGACTCCAGATACAACCTAATCCTGCCTCATTAACTTAACTGCCTCTAATCTTGCCTCATTAGCATCATAGATGTTAGGATTTACAACACATAGGAAAATCACATCAGATCACAAAATGGTGGACAGTCACACAGTACTGGGAATCATGGCCTAGCCAAGCTGACACACACTTTTGGGGGACACAATTCAATCGGTAACAGTCATTAAATAACCTAAAAAGCATAGTAATTTAAACTAAAACATGTATATAGACAGGTAGGTTAAGATGTAAGCATGAAAAGTATAAACAAATACCTATTTGTTTATAGTTTTACCTCACCTGACGTCTTGAAAAATTTAGAATGGTTTACATGGCTAAAAAAAAAAACAGCATAAAAAAGTATTTGCAAAAGGAGAAAGAAAAAAACGACGTGAGATAAGAAACCCATTCATATATTCAGTGTTCATAGCCTTTAAAACTTATTATGGAAAATTTCAAACAAAAGTAGAGAGATTAATGTAAAGACCCCCCACCATGTGTCCATCATCCAGCTTCAACAGTGACAACTGTTGTCTAATCTTGTTTCATCTATACCTCCACCTACTTCTCTCCCCAACCCTACTTTAGTTTGAACCTTCTTGTGGTTGTTGTTATCTGTTGTCAAATCGATTCTGATTCATGGCGACCCTATGTCTGTTGTTTGTTGTTGTTAGGCACCGTGGAGTAGGTTCCAACTCATGGAAACCCTGTGTACAACAGAGTAAAACACTGCTTGGTCCTGCGCAATCCTCAACAAATTGTTGCTATGTTTGAGCCCATTGTTGCAGCCATTATGTCAGTCCGTGTTGCTGAGGGTCTTCCTCTTTTTTGCTGACCCTCTACTTTACCAAGCATGATGTCCTTTTCCACGGACTGGTCCCTCCTGATAACATGTCCAAAGTACCTGAGACAAAGTCTCACCAGCCTCGCTTCTAAGGAGCATTTTGGCTGTACTTCTTCCAAGACAGATTTATTCGTTCTTCTGGAAGTCCGTGGTATATTCAATATTCTTCACCAACACCATAATACAAAGGAATCGATTCTTCTTTGGTCTTCCTTATTCATTGTCCAGCTTTCACACGTATATGAGGTGATTGAAAATACCATGGCTTCGGTCAGGCGCGCCTTAGTCCTCAAAGTGACATCTTTGCTTTTTAATACTAAAGAGATCTTTTGCAGCAGAATGGGGGAGGGGTGTCCTTATCTATGTTTCCATCCTCGCACACATCTCTGGGATTGAAGAGGTTGATAGTGGGCTCAGCATCTCTGACCTGTTTACAGTGCCTCCCTGAGATCTTCCCAGAATTGGGTCGAGTACTAAGTTATTCCACTCTAAATCTTGAATGGAGAGACAGACTTAAATGAAATAACAGTGTATTCCACACCTCCTTCCATATACATATCCCCGGGGTCTGGATATGGTGATACTGGCCACCTCTCAGTGAGTAGATCCCCAAAATGCATTGCTCAGAGCCTATCAGAAGAGAGCCAGATCCCATGGAAACAACCCACTCTTCTGTTGCATCCACCAGGAATAAGACCAAATATGAAACTTATTCAGATATACATGTACTCTTGAGGTTTAGCATGCTTGCAAACAGTTGCACTTGGAATGCGTGATATGTCTCCAGGCAGTGGCAGTGGTTGTGGCAATGAGCAGGATGCTGTTGAGTACAGCAAAGTACCAAGCTTATTTCAGTGACCCACATTGGGCTGACACTGAGTGGTGTTGCCAGCATAGAGAACAGAAGGGAGGTATTGTGTAATCTGTTATTGCTTGGAAGAGGAAGGCATGGGCCCTAGAGACTGGCTGGTCTCTGCATTTGTTCAGTTAGGAAGAGTGAGCTGGGCAAGGATTGAATTCAATCTAGAGCTAGACCATACAGTCCCCTTCACTGCAGTATCCACCATTGCAGTGTGTCAGACCAGAAGATTAATGCCAGCCATCACATACCAGAAGGGGTTGGGGGTGGGGGTGGGGGTTACTAGGCAAAGTCTTGTGAGCAAGTTCAAGCACGGTTGTTAATCAAGTGGGAGCTAGACTAAGAACAGGAGAGAAGATGCCAAACCAAACTAGGGGAGTGCAGAGCCAAGAAAGCAAAAAAACCAAGGAACAGCAGGAAGAGGCAAGAAGAGAAAGATCTGACTCAGTTCCTTAGATGGTCCCAATGCCTGCAGTGGCTATGTTTTTGCAGGAATGTTCTAGGCTCATTTAAAGAGCCTTGAATAGGAGGTATGCCTTGGGATACCACTGCTATTTCAAAAACAACAGCAAGAGCAAATAAATTGGAAACTAAGGAGGACAGCAAAACAGGAGGAAATCATGAATATAGTTCATACAAAACCAAGATTACAAGGTCTCCGTTTCTGTCTTTTGAACTCTAATTACTTAGGATTCCTTCTGTGAGTAGTGTCCAGTACATAGTTAGCAGAAAGTAAAATGTTTGAAAAAGCTTAGAAGAAATTGGCACAAGCCTAAGCATTTAATAAGATTTTGGTCTACTATACGTGGTTGTTGGTCTGCTTTTTTAAAATGAAAGATTGTGATCTGCATGTTCTCAAGTGAGGAATTCATTCATCTATCAATAAATACTTAGTAATTTTTTTATTATACTATTGTAGGCATTGCATAGGATAGCATTACTCAGACCTTCTGGTTTCATGACCCTTTCACATTCATAAAAATTGCTGAGAACCCAAAAGAGCTTTTGCTTACGTGGGTTATATCTATCAATATTACTATATTAGAAATTAAGATGAATAAATTTTTAATATATTTATTTAACAATAAATTCGTTACATGTTAACATAAGTAGCATATTTTTATGAAAAATAATTGTTTTCAAAACAAAAAAATTTAGTGAGAAGAGTGGCATTATTTTACATTTTTGAAAATCTCTTTATTGTCTAGCTTAATAGAAGACAGCTGGATTCTCACACCTGCCTCCGCTCAATCCATTACAATATATATTTTAGTTGAAGCGTACAAAGAAAATTCAGCCTCACCCAAATATGTAGTTAGATAAGGGAGGAGCATTTGAATAGCCTTTAGAGATAATTGTGAATATTCTTAATCCTACACCAAAACTTGACAAGTGGTAGTTTCTTAAAGGTTAGTTGCAATGTGGAATCTAAAACCGTATCAGTGAGTTTTTCAAGCTCTGTGACATTAAAATTCATTGGTTTATCTTGCACTTGTAGGTTCCTAGGTAGTACAAATGGTTTGTGCTTAACTGCTCATCTAAAGGTTGGTGGTTCAAACCCACCTAGCAGCACTGAAAAAAAAAAAAAGGCCTAGTGATTTGCGTCCATAAAGATTACAACCAAGGAAACCCTATGGGGCAGTACTACTCTGTAACAAATGGGGTCACCATGTGTTGGAATTGACTGTATGGCAAGGGGTTTTCTCAGATTTTCTGTCTTGTACTTGCAATGGGTCTTTTACCCATGCAAGCTTTTGGTCATTTGGAAAATATTGGTTCACTGAGTTATATACATCTTCCAAATATTGACGTGCTTCATTATATAATATTTAAAAAATCACATTTGTTAATATCATCACCAGTGTCATCAGGAAAAGCCTTAACTATTGGGAAGCTGTTAAGCTCATGGTGGTGGATATAGTTTTCCAAAATTCTGATTTTCAGTTGAATTTTACAATTGGCAATAAACACTGTCAGTCGTTGTCCTAGAAGTGACAGACTCATTCCATTGACTTTTTATAAAATGTCTACCAAATATACAAGACTGAATAACCATAGTTTGTCTGTCAGTTGTTCTTGGCAAGAAAGAAAATGTTCTGTTAAAAAAGCAGAAAAATAGGTTGAGGCACTTTAATTCCAGCTGAAGGGGATAAGACTTCATTCTACTAATAAGAGAGAAATTTCCCAACAAGAGAGTGACCTAATTAAAGAGATTCTATTAAAGAAATTAATGTGAGGTGGTAAACAGGTGATATAAGCCAATAGATGTGGTAAGCTGAAATCATACTAACAGCATTTTGTTTCTTGACCTGTATGGTGCGTATATGGGTGTTTTCAGACTCTCTGTAACTTACTTAAACACTAGATACATATATATATGCATGTTTATACAAAAACCAAACACATTGTCATTGAGTCAATTTAGACTCATAGTGACCCTGTGGAACTGAGTAGAACTGCGCCATAGGGTTTCCAAAGAGCAGCTGGTGAATTCGAACTGCTGACATTTTGGTTAGCAGCTGAGCTCTTAACCACTCCGCCACCAGGGCTCCATACATTTTATATATATATATAAAACATATAGATAGATTTTATTATATTATGAAATAATAATTTTAGAAAGAAAAATAATATACCAAGCAACCCCTGTAATACACCTTTACCATTAATCATATGAACTTTCCTAACATGAGTTAAAAGAATTACTAGCATGAAATTTCCTTCGCTAGGTACCTCATGTGTCTAAAATAAATTTATTTAGAAATTTTAAAGATGTATCCTCCTAGCCCAATGATTTTATTTATTATCCAAAAAATATATATTCATGAATATACGTCATGTGGCAATAGTCTTAATTATTACTTTCAGAACTTTGACAGATGGTTTTATAACCTGCTTTAGTATTTGTCGATAACTAGATGGTATTTTATAAAGTAATAATAATAAATTCATGTTTTTATACTGATAATATTGTAAAACTTTTAAAATTATATTTTCCTCTACAGGTTATATTATCACTGAAATGCCATCATTTTCACAGGAAGCCATAACTACTTTAGAGCAATTAGAATTAATTAAAAACTTAAGTTTGAAACCTGATCTTATAATCAATATTAAGGTAAGGATACTAGTTGTTTTTCTGCTATAGTAAACCATTCTTTCTTATAGTGGTTAAATTCAAGGAATATTTTCAAAACTTTAAATAGTTATGGAAAGAATCATTTATGCTTCAACCCCAGGGCCTGTGTTATACTTTCTCATTCCTCTGTGTTTTTGCACCTGCAGCTCCAGTCACATGAAACACCTCCTCACCTCTCCACCAGGTTTAATCATAGCCATCCTTGGAAAGTCAGTTCAGGCATTCTTTTAGTTTCCTAGAGCTGCCATAACAAAGTACCACAATCCGAGTGGCTTAAAGCAACAGAAATGCATTCTCTCACAGTTCTAGAAGCTAGAAGTCCCAATTCAGGGTATTGGCAGGGCCATCATTTCTTTGAAGGCTGTAGGGGAAGATCCTTCCTTCTCACTTCCAGCTTCTGGTAGCCCCAGGCATTGCTTGGCTTGTGGAGGCCTAACTCCAATCTCTGCCTCTGTCTTCATATGTCCATCCTCCTTCTGTGTCTGTATCTCTTCTCATTTTCTTATAAGGACACTAGTCATGTTGGATTAGAGCTCATGCTACTCCAGTTAAGGAGCCCTAGTGGTGCAGTGAGTAAAGCAATCGACTGCTAACTGAAAGGTCAGCAGTTCAAAACCACTAGCTGCTCTGCGGGAGAAAGATGTGGCAGTCTGCTTCCATAGAGGTTTACAGCCTTGGAAACCCTATGGGGTTGCTATTAGTCGGAATCGACTCAATAGCAATGGGTGAGTTTTGGTCTACTCCAGTATAACCTCATGTTAACTGAACTAAATACATCTGCAAAGATACAATTTCCAAATAAGGTCAGTCACATTCACAGGTATGAACTGGGGACCAGGGCTTGAACATATCTTTTTAGGGGGGCGTAAACCAATCCATAACAGGCATCATACCCCAGTTTTCCCGGACAACCACCCCTTACACAGCAACACACACACTCCTTTTCCCCCACACTGTACTTACCATGGGAGAGTTAAATACTTCTGATGACCATTCATGTTGCTCTCCTCTATCGTATTACTTACCTCACTATAGTGTAATTGTCCATTTTCCTCCTACACTCTGTCTTACATGAAGGCAGGAACCATGTCTTATTCATATAAACAACAATTATCACAATATAACATCTAGTAGACACCTAGTAAGTTTATCAATTAAATAAAATTAAAGAACAAACAAATGATTAGGATGTTTGAACATTAAAGAACACTACTAGATTGATTAAGAGTCAATTAAACAGGCTGGGTCCTGTTCTCAGTTCTCTCCCTTATCAACTGTTTCAATTTGGTAAGTCACATTTATGAACCTTAAGTTCCTCTTTACAAAGATAAGAATTGCTGCCTCATGAAGTTATGATAAAAATTTAGTGAGGTGATATCTACTTAGTTATATGAAAATGAATGATATACTTTTGTATCCACATCCTGCCTGGTTCCTGAAAGGGTTTAAGACAGCTCAGAATAAGTTGGAATGGTTCTTAGCTCAGATGTTGGGACCCAGTGGTATTTCCGCATTAGCTGTGAGAAACAGGTGGAGTTGCAGTGCTGAGGGTGAGGTAATCTGCCGCTCCAGCCACAGCTCATGGCAAGGGGCCAACCAAAATCCCCACACGCCCTTGAGAATGTCACACATGTGAAAACGTGTATTATGGAGGGAAGATCTCAAACACATAACTGGAACAAATATAAAGTCTAAACCAGGGAAAATACACATTAAATAGGTAGCTACGATTTGGTGGAAAGAGAGTACTTAAGATATACAGGCCATAATGACCCACCAGTTTACTAAATTTGAGTCATAAATTTGGTTCTGAATTTGATGAGCCAAAGTAAACAGGAAAATGTGACCAGTTATAAAGTTTACAATGTCCATGAAAGGCAAGCCATTCCTCAGGAATAACAACTTTCATTAAAAATGGAAGAAATAGAAACCCTCAGAGTATGACCTCTGTACACCCTTTTAACTCAGTAATGAAGTCACTCCTGAAGTTCACCCTTCAGCCAAAGATTAGACAGGCCTATAAAACAAAAAATAACACACATAGTTCAACCATGTAGACGAGACTAAATGGGCACACCAGCCCAAAAGGAAAGACAAGAAGGAAGGAAGGGACAGAAAAACCGGACAAATGGAAATGGAGAACCAGAGGTCAAGAATGGGAGAGTGTTAACACATCATGGGGTTGGCAACCAGTGTCACAAAACAATTTGTGTATTAATTCTTTAATGAGAAACTAATTTGCTCTGTAAACTCTCACCTAAAGCACAATAAAAAAATTTTTTTTTAATGAAAGAAATATCTTACATGGATCTTCATAAAAGAGACTCTGCTGAATATAGTGAACGAAGTCCTTAACCCCATTCATTTTATAAATACGATAGTGGGTGTTCCATAGCAGTTTCTACAGGGTGCGGAGTGTAACCCGAGAGCCCAGTATGAGAGCACAACTAAGGGAAGTCAGGGCAACACACACTTCTCCGATGGTTTGGCCTTATCTGAGGCTGAAGACTGGAGTTTCTAGAGCAAAAGCTCTCAGGGATCCATGAACCCCTAAGCATTCGGGAACCTTCTGAAATTATCTGCAAAATGTTATATGTATATGCATAAGCAAAAGCCTATGACTTTCTTTAGACTCTAAAGGGGTCTGTGCTAAAAAAAAAAAACAAGGTAAGAACCAGTGATAACAGAGCAGTGATTCTCGGAGTGCAGTCCCAGAGCCAGCAGCATCAGCAGCACCCAGGAACTTGTTCAAAATACAAATTCCTGGACCCACACCAGGAGTAAGAATCTGAAACTCTGAGGGTGGCACCCAGCTACCTGTGTGAAAAGCCCTTCAGGTGATTCTGATGCCGGTTAAAACTTGAGGACAGCTGCTCTGGAGGCATGTCTTCCAGAGTCATCAAGTGAAACAGGAGACAACTGAAGGGGATAGTCTGGCCAGGACTCAGAATGTGGGTATTCTGGGTCGCTGAATAAGGGCAAATCCACAAGCTTTAAAAGTTACCGAGTGCGTTGAAAGTCCCCCTCCCCTTTTTTTTAATAATACCTTATTGTGTTTTTAGTGAAAGTGTACACAGCAAATTAGGTTCCCATTTAACAATTTCTATACAGATTGCTCAGTGACATTGGTTACATTTTTCACAATGTGTCAGCATTCTCATTAATACCCTTCTATTTATCCATTTCCAGTAATCTAGTTTCCTTGCACCCTTACCTTTTCATCTTTGCTTTAGAGTAAGTGTTGACCGTTTGGTCTCATATAGATGAATTTTTAAAGGAGTACAGTACTCATGGGTGATATGCTTTATTTTATGAGCCAATCTGTTATTTAGCTAACAGGTGACCTCAGGGGATAGTTTAAAGAGTACCTCAGTCCTGGGGAGTCCTATAGTCTCAACTGGTCCAGTAAGTCTGAAGTTTTTAAGAATTTTAGTTCTGTTCAACATTTTTATCCCATTCTGTCAGGATCCATCTATTGTGACCCTGATCAGAAAGGTAGGTAGTGGTAGCCAGGCACTTTGTAGTTCCTCTGGTCTCAGCGTAGATGAGGCCATGGTTCACATAGACTATTAGTCCTGTAAACTAGTTTCTTCTCTGAGTCTTTGGTTTCCTTCTTTCTGTTTTGCTCTGGACGAGTAGAGACCAGTAGTTGTATCTTAGATAGCCATTTGCAAGCTTTTAAGACCCCAGACACTATTCATCAAACTAGAATGTAGAATGTATTATGAACTGTGTTATGCCAGTTGACCAAGTTGTCCCACAAGATTATGGTCCAGAGCCTTCAAGTCCAGAAAACCAAACCCAGGAAGTATTTGGTTATATCTAAGAAGTATCTGTAACTGTGCTCCTATGTGCTTTATTACATATATAAATATATATGCATGCACACACACACAAGTATATAATATACATATAGATACATCTATATATGCACACATATACATACCTATACACATATATGCATACATACATACATATGTAACCACACATATATTTTTTGGTTGTTGTTGTGAAACCCTTTTTTTGTGTGTGAAAATTAGGAAGCCTGAATAAAAGTCTTGCCTCAGTAAATACCTATCCATCTCCATATAGAGATGGCCTGAAGAAATCAGAAAATGAGCAAGGAAGGTTTCAAAGTTCCTTACTTCCTTTGTTTCTCAGAGTGTGGTGCATGGACCATTGGCATTAGAATCACTGAGGATGCTGTTAAAGTGTCTAGGCCTCACCCCAGATGTATTAAATCACAAGGGGGAGTATGAATCTCTGTTTAACAAGCTGTCCACATCAGTCATATACAGTTACTCCCTGATGTTTGAGAGCCACTGCCAGAGAATACTATCCAGATTTTTTTATCCTGAAAAATATTCAGAGCAGGATTTACCAGCCCCAAACCATTTAGTTAGTTAGGTGTTGTCAAGTTGATTTTGACTCATAGTGCTCTCATGTGACAGAGTAGAACTACCCCATGGGATTTTCTAGACTATAATTGTTACAGGAGCAGATCGCCAGGTCTTTCTCTAGCTCAAACTGCCAACCTTTTGGTTCCAGCAGCTGAGTACTTAACCATTGATCCACCAGGCCTCCTTCCCCGAACCATAGTTATAGTTAATAATGCACCCACAGAGCATGGGATAGGATCAGAAGACCTGGTTCCACATTGTAATTCCTCCATATGACATTGCAGTCTGAGATCAGTCTCATAACCTGCCAGAGCTGTTCTTCCCTGACCTGTAAAATGACTTTAATCATAGTATTAGATTACTTATCGGGATTATTATGAGATTTGAGTAAAATTGCATGTGTCATAGCACTATGAAAACAGGAAAATTGCTCTGCAGACTTTGGTTTTGGCTTTTTCACTACCTAGACTCAGTTTTCCCATACATGATCTTTCAGGTCCCATTCATGACTAGTATTTTATGAAGTACTTCATCCATGAAACTGCAAATGGTATTCAATAGTGTAAATACAGAATATGTATTTATATGTTGGAAATATGTGGATATTCCCTCTTCCTCCATTCTCAGCCTTTTAAACTAATCTGACAGAAGCCTGTGTACCTTTCCAGACTAAACTGATTTTATCTTCTATTTCTTTACTCTGTCATTCTCCTAACCTTCTTTTTCATCAAAAAACTATTGACATTTTCTCACAAATATTAATTTCAAAGAAAAGTGTTGGCATAGCATAAAAATTGTGCCCTGTTCCTCTCTTGGCATGTACTGAAACTTGATGCAAAATCGCAGTATTGTATTTACTCAGGGTTTTAAGGAATTTTTTGGTTTATATATGATATAATTTATAAATAAGAATTAAAAGTATATTGAAAATGTTGTGATTTAATAATGTTGCTCCTTAGTGCCCTGACTTTGATTTATGCCAAAGAATTTCTGGGCAAAGACAACACAGTAGTACGGGGTACATTTACCCAAGAGATCAGTGGGATCCTGAAGTCATTGAAAGTCGTAGAAAAAAGAGGAAAGAAGCCCAAAAAGAGGGAAAAGGAGAAGAGGAAGGGGAAGAGGAAGAAGAGCAAGAAGAAGAAGAGGTAATCTCTCAATCAGTATACTGGCCAAAACCAAACTCGTTGCCATCAAGTTGATTCCAACCTATAGCGATCCTATAGGGCAGAGTAGAACTGCCCATAGGATTTCTAAGGCTGTAAATCTTTATGGGAGAAGACTTCCACCTCTTTCTCCCACTGAGTGGTTAATTAGTTCAAACCGCCAACCTTTTGGTTAGCAGCTGAGCACTTAATCACTGTGCCACCAGGGCTCCTTATCAGTATACTACACTTTTTTTATTTGCTATAATTAAATGAGAGTATGGGTAATGGAAAATAGCAGAGACTGAAGAAAATTACATTTACTTTACCTTTTTATCGAGTCTGGAGTAAATAAGCAAAAATGTTTCATGTTTTCAAGAAATAATAGATCATGCTGACAATAGATAAATGGTAACTTTGGTGAAGGGTAAGACAGTACACAATACTGGGGAAGCCAGGACAGCTTGTACAAGGAAAGGTCATGGAAGCTCCACAGACACTTCCAAACTCCCTGAGGGACTGAATTGCTGGGCAGAGGGCTGTGGGGACCATGGTCTC